GACTGGTTGGCTCTTTTGTGTCATTTAGTACACCATAGTATTGTCTTCCTTTGGTTATTTTATGTAAGAACAAGGCATTTCATTAGTTAACAGCAACGTTATCTGATTTGGTGAATTTCAATCCTACCTTGGGGTATAAATAGAGGCTCGAACAGAGTGGACCAAGGAGTCGTCTACCTAATTTCATCAAAATCTAAGGATAGGATATAGTATAAGCGACTCCTCTCCACTCCCTGAGGGAAGGTAAATTCCGAAAGAACACCGACTTCCGCAGAGAGATGACACCCTCATGTGTGGAATCATGTAGGCAAACAAACCGTCAATCAACCAAACAACCAGAGCTGTCTCATTTTTACGTTGAACTTCGACACATAATTTTCCCCGTAGGCCGCTGATAGAGTAGGACGTGTCCCCCGACAACACTATTAGGCAGCAGGATTTTAAGTAGAAAGAAACATCAAAATAAAAAAAGAAACACTGATAATGTACTTTGTATTAAGTGATTTAATTAATTACCCTGAAAAATTAGTTAAATTATAAATTTATGTCCGGACCTCCACTAAAGTGATAAAAATGTGTTAGTCCATTCGTCAGTTTTAAACTAGTAAATATAGTTAATGTATATAATGTGTAGTATGCACATCACGTAATATTCCTTTACGTATCTGCCTCCCCCAGAATGTTGTAGTGTAAAGCTAAAATACACAATCTAGAATCTGTGGATCACATATTGTATGATGACATGATACAACACATATGGTACATGATTGTTGGTTAAGCTGTTAAAGCTTAAGAGTTGTTGTTAATATTTTCTTTTTAATTCACTATGAATACATACTTATAAAGCATGTACCTATATACAGAGACAAAAAAGAATTCACACACAGACACACATACACTTACACTCACACAAATTAATATATAAATAAATTATTAATAAATAAATGGTATTCGTGACATTAGGTATACAGACAAAAATGAAATGCACACAAAAGACAAAGGACAAGACATGTGGGACAAAACAAGGACAAGGGAAACCTAGGTCAGAAAGATGTTTAATTTCTTTTAATTTTTAAATTTGCAACCAGTGATGTATTTGTGTGTTAATCTGTATTTTAATTTTACTTTTAGATATTAGAATTTTGTGAGTTTTTAATTCGAATTTGATATGATCTTTTAGACCATTCAGATTTAGTTCTATTTCAAGGCATTTTGATTTATATATGTATTGTTTTACCGTGAGTAATATCAAGTTATCAAAGTTGAACTTTGTATATTTTTATTAATTTGCTTGCCAAAGATAAATTCTTTTTTATTAAATCGAAGACCAAGATTTTTAGCAATAATCGTAATTCTTATATTTTCTTTCAAATTAGATACCTTTTCACAATCCCTTAATATGTGTTATTGTTTCTGGATGAGTTTTACAAAAAGTCACATAATTATCTAATTTACCAATTTGAAATAAAAATGTGTTTGTGGTTAGGATTCTATGATTTATTCTAAATTGTAACCATTGTAGTTTGGAACTGGTACAGGTATTGAAAGGATATTTGTATATATTTTTCCACGTTTCTTCATCAATATTGAAATTTTGATTCCATTTATGTTGGGCGGTGCGTTTAACTTCATTTTTGATTAATATGGTATATATTTCACGAGCTCCTTTTTTACATTTTAGGATTAACTTGAGATTTATTGGGATACTTGGAAGCATAGTATCATTTTCTGAATCGAAAGTTTGGCGGTTCTTCCTTATGTACTGACATATAGGGACCGCAGAACCAAATGATTTTCCATAGACGATAGTGTCAACGTTTACCACTGTCCTGGTTTAATTGGGTTATCCACACTAGTTTACCTGCCCTCATTTTGAAGAATATCATCTCACAAAACTGTAAATACATTTTTTATGTTTTTTATATGGGGGCCGCCATTTTGTATTAAATTCGGCCCATAAAATCGACCAATTTACAACAAATTACACACTTAATAAACTCACCCAGACAAAAGAGGCTTGAACAAATTTAATATTTTTTTATGCATATTACATCTATATACATTGCTCAACCCACACATAAAACTTTTGAAACTTCTCCCACCTAAATATCCAACCAGCAGGCCCCCGAGGCATTCACCTTCCTATTAAATCTTCTGCCCAAAAGAGAAAAACCCTCAATCTATTTTTGATTTGGTTCGTGGTCCCTATAACATTTTTCAGACTCTGATAACTTAAAAAAATAGCACGAATGTTCAATTTTTCACAAAATTCTTCTAAGCTGTAAAAAGATCTATCTTTTTAAATAATGTTGTGGATAAAATGTACCTGTTTTTTGTACCATGTATTATTGAAGATAACTTTTCGATCTGTTTTTATTTCACTGTTAAACCATATTCGATTTTCACCAATATTTGTTTTGTATATTTTGCTTACATTGATAGTTTTATACCAGGCATCCAAAACATCTTTCGAAACTACATTTTTACAATTTTTTGATATTTCTTTCAATTTCTCAATTCCAGTATTTGCTAATTTCTGTATATCAAATAACGATTCCACAACAATACCCCAATTTCTTGGTTTACTATATATCCTTCCGATCCAAGTTGCTTTAAGAGCAGTTATGAAAAATTTTAGATGTATCATTTTAAGCCCCCCTTCTTATTGGTGTAAGTATTCTTTTGTTCCAGACAGATATTAAAGACTTCAGTTTTGCAAGCTTTTTATCAAAATTAAGTTTGATAATTCTGTGTAGGTCTACAACGTATTCTATGCCTAATAGGGTGAAGCGTGTACTTCCCCATTTTAAGTCAAAATTTGTAGTAAAAGTGTTTTCACTGTATTTTTGGCTGCCAATCCATACTACCTGGGTATTGGAGAAGTTCATTTTTAGTCCAGAAATACTAGCAAAGAGCTCTTAATGTCAAATTGTGATAAGAGGATTTTCTTTTCCCTGATAAGTATTCCTTTGATATTTTTTTTATCAATTTTCAAAATTATTGATAGAATTTCAGCACATAAAATGAAAATATATGAAGATATCGGATCCCCCTGACGACAGCCCCGTTCTATATTGAAAAATGTTGACAGATTCCCCCCTATATTTACTGCTGAGATAAGGGGAGGGAGGGGAGGGGGGGGGGGGGTTCTCGTTTCCCCCACTTTTTATATAACAAAGGATGTTGATTTAGGAAGACAATGGCAAACCAATTATAGTCTGTTTCATACTTACCCCACAGGTAACTTACCTGTGTGACTTGTAGCTTTGTTGTATATGTTGGGTCTAAATAAGGTTTTAATACTTTTTTGGGGTTCAAATATCTTTATATATAATCGATATGTTTTTATACTTATACATATGTAAAGTTTACAGCCAAATATTTATAGTTCACAATCGAGTTTTTCACTACTTATACATAATCATTACATTACAATTTTTAAACATACAACCGTCGCTGCATATTAATTATATTAATTTATGATAAAGTTTGGTAATAGCAATCTCAAATAATTGGTGATTGGTGGTGCGGGGTACTTCAGTGTTTCTGCTAATAATTGCAAAATGATAATTAATATTTAGAGTTCCGATCCCAAGCTGTTACATGGATAATGTATAAAACAGAAGCACATTTTGGAAAATTACTTGGAAACATCAACTTCTTTACTCAGTGAAATTTGTGTGAATTGTCTTATAATTATTGTCATATAAAACTTGTACTTATTTTACGATTTGTGTGAACTGTGTTTAACTTGTGTGACTTCAGTTTGATATTATTATCTGTTATTGTGTGCTTTGATACATCAACTACAAGATGGCAAACGCTCAGATCAACGTTAAGTTCATCACCAACAGGAGAGGCGGACAGAACCTTTCCCATGATGGATTCATCTACAGACAAATACGTAGAAACGGCGACAGAACATTCTGGAGATGTTCAACCTCAGGCCGTTCACAACAGCCTTCGTCGATTTTGAGGTAGCCGCACACAACGCCATCCGCAGTGTTGTCCCTGGTATCAACATTAAAGGCTAATTTTTCCATTACACTCAATGTACTTGGCGAAAGGCCCAGTCAACCGGACTCCAGACACTGTACCGTGATAACGACGACGTCAAACTACTTGTCCGCCGAGCTGTCGTGCTTCCACTCATCCCCTTAGACCGCATAGAAGACGTCTGGTTACAAACCCTTGAATATGCTGATTATGCTGACATATCACATCCCGTGCTGCTTTTCACAGACTACGTCACAGAGCAATGGGTAGAAGCTAAGGAGACCGACCAACTTGGAACCACTTCTCAAGCTTGGCACGGAAAACTGAAAAAAGAGTATTGCATGCCAAACCCAACATCTACACCATCATCCAGACGTTTAAAGACATACAAAACGTGAATGACATCAACCGGATCCAGAGATTTGCAGGAGGCACTACTCAACCCCGAAAGAAGAGATACGCCATCTCCAAGAAAGCTGGGTCCACGTCCCGAGGCTGGGTACGTTGGTCTCAGTGCGTATGTGATCATTTCGGGGGTATGATTGTGGCGCGCTGGGCGTCATCGTAGCAGAAGGCTTTCACACTAGCTCCAATTTGAGCCAACCTGTTTGCCGTGGGTTGCATCTCGTATTCCTGGGGGAAGAAGATCCTGGTAGTTGAGCAGAGTCGGAATCACTGTCAAACTCTTGATAGGAAGGAGACATGATCCGATATTCTGCAACATACTGCTTTGGCTTCGGACTCTGGGTAGACGAGAGGTGATATGGGCCCTCTATCACCAATCGGCTGGTCACGCCGAGCCCTTGGTTTACATACTCCCAAGAAGGCGGTGGCTTAGGGTCAATCGCGAGAGTATACTCTTTCAAATAGTATGTATATTCTTACGAGTATACTATTCTATGTATCTCCGACACTTGGCGCTGGATATCCGCGTCACACCAGTGTCCCCTTGTTGGGCTCCGTGGCGGGTGGAGGCATAGATCGTGAAACAAACAAATATACACATGGGTAAAGATAAAAACCACCAAAACGACGGACATACCAAAATCAGGAACGATGACCCTAGCTCAAAAACAACACAAAACGCAACACAGAACACCCAATTCCCGCAATTCCTTGTGATGACCTCCACACAGAGTGGTAAAACAACGGCCGCGTTGTCGCCACTTCTGTTGAGGAAGGGCATCCAGGGAATCGCAGGGGATGTGAAATCCGTTAAGCCATTGGGATCGGGCGATCTCCTTATAGAGGTTTATCGCCAACAACAGGCGATGAACCTACTCGGAACAACCAGTTTTGCCGGCATCGGTGTCAGTGTGAAACCACACTCATCACTTAATTGCAGCAAGGGGGTAATCAGGTGCCCAGCCTTGCGCAATGACACCGATGAAGACATACTGGCATATTTCCAGGAGGAGAGCGTCCCGGTCTCTGAGGTGAGGCGGATGGTGATCAGGAGAAACAATGATACAATCAAAACAAACACCTTCATCATCACTTTTTCAACGCCAACACTACCCCAAATACTAACAATCGGATACCAGAGGTACAACGTTTCCGTCTACATCCCAAATCCATTGCGATGCCGAAACTGTCAGAAGTACGGTCATCACGAAAAGCGATGTAGACGAAAATCGATCTGCCAGTATTGTGGCCGTGAGGGTCACACCGAGCAAAATGACTGTGACATCGCCAACCTGCGCTGTGTCAACTGTGAGGGGAAGCACGCTGCCTCTTCTCTCGACTGCCCTACCTGGAGCCAGGAGAGGGAGATATTACGGGTTAAATATACCCGAGGTGTCTCTTTCCCCCGAGGCCAGGAGGATAGTCGGGAGTGCAGACGTTGCTACACCCTCTTACGCACAAGTGACTCGAGGCAAGGCAAGTGACGAAAGTCCGGTCGCCGGTTGACAGTGTCGCAGTCAAGGATGCTTCGGTTCAAGTTTCTGAAGACATACATGCCTGGAGCTCACAAGTCCCAGACATGGCTGGTCAACAGAACTTGAAAATCCTCACGGGGGACCCATCCCGTTTCACGACTTTAACCAAACCAACCAAACCAAACAACCTGTCAAAAGCAGCATCACCCTCAAAAACAGCATCTTCATCAAAACCAGCAACACCATCAAAACCAGCACCACCTTCAAAAACACCTTCCTCTTCAGGAGAAAACCCTCCAAAGGCTGGCCCATCTAGGGCACAGATGCGGTCGCAGCGATCTCGTTCACTCAAATCTGTTCCTCGGTCCCAAATGAGGCAAGACGTAACATCACCTACCAACAGGCCTAGGAAAATTAGAATAGCGAGGGGCAAATCTGATGGACCTGATCTGAATGTCACCTTTGGCAAAGGATCAGAGGACCAGACAAACCGGTTCAATGTCCTTCTAGATTACGATGATGAGATGGAGACGATTTCCTTAGCGCCTCGTGCTTCGACTTCATCGAAATCCAGCCAAAATAGCAAAAGATAAATAATACAATTATCCAATGGAACATCCGCGGATTAAAGGCAAATATAGAAGAATTTCAGAATCTATCAAAAGAATTTAGACCCGCCATTTTTTGTCTACAAGAAATCATGCTCAAAAACCCAATCACGCTTAGAAATTTCTCACTCTACACTAACATTCCAACTGTAGTTAGCAGAGCAGCAGGTGGCGCAGCGGTAGCTGTCCATAAAAATATTCCTCACAGAATGATCAAGTTAAACACAAATTTACAGGCTGTTGCTGTCTGTGCAACATTACAC